GTCTCGCATACTTCAGACATAATATCAGAAGGGCCCAATCCCTCAAGAAAGGTACCAAGTTTGGTCAGCAAAAGACAGGAAGACCCCTCAATGAGATGGACTGGCACTGCAGCAGCAGCAATGGGCTCAAGCTTAATGACAGAGTTTGGTACAGGACTGGCCTACATTTCATTCTGTTATGCATAACGTTGCTTTGAGTCAGAACCGATTCAATGGCACCTTAACAACAACAACAACGTTTTTATTATCAATATCAAGCAGAGTGGGTCTGGCTCTCATCATGCCCCACACACATTAGCCTCAGAACTTACCTGCTCAGCAAGTCTCCACAAAAAAATAGCATAAGTCCCAGGAGGAAAACAAGGAAGAGTTTGGGGTCAAATCCTGAAATAAAGAAAGACTTCTGTGTAACAGAAGAACCAAACAGTTTAAGACAGTATAGAATAAAAGGCAATGCTGGAGTTCTTGACCATAGAAAGATAAATGCAAACAGCACACCTAAAGAGCAATGTAAAGGTCACTCAAAGTCTGGGCATCCCTCCAAAGAGAAAGTGTAATTAGGTCTCTGTCTAACTTGTACCTTCCTGAAGATACGATTTTCATTTTGGCTACCTATATGAGTCGGTACTACTGACTCGATGGCACCTAACAACAACAACAACAATGCTAAGGCTGAAAGGAACTAGAGGCGGTCAGGCATGGTGCCATCAGCACTTCAGCCCGTCACCCACAAGGGGTCTCTACCACTCAGTCTTTCAAGCCTCCCTCACAGGCACAGACTTTAGCAGTTTTGCCTAAAATTTGGGGTCAGGGTTCTCTGTTGTTCACTAACTGGCTGTTCTTGTCCAACAATATCACCTACTTTGGTCTGCTACACAAGCATTGTGTTGGAAAAGTCTACACTCACACACATCTCAGAACCAGGGGGCCCAAGCAGAGGCATACCAAACACTCCCACAGCATTCACATGCAGGACTCTGGAGTATAGAGGAGGTCCCCAAACAGAACAGGAGCCAGAGGAAGCAGTAAAGATAGAAAGAGCAGTTAAAAACAAAAACCAAGACTATCCTTCACAACCAAAGAACTTTGGAATCCTAAGACTAATGGAAATGGCGTAACTTATTTCATAGCAAAACTGGACCCTGCATAGTAACCAAGCAGTCAGAGCGAATTCAACAGGACAATAACCAGCCTCCTCAGTGAAAAGTTTCTTGGGTAAGTTCAGAGAAGGGAAAACCTGTCCCAGCCCCACTGAATAACTAAGCTGCAGTGGTCTTCAACTTATTTTTCAATTTTACCTCTCTTCTGTTTTTATTGTTTAACCATTCATGTCATCAAATACAGGCCTGTACACTTCTCTCTTTTTTTTGGGGGGGTGGGGGTGGGAGTGTGGGGGAGCAGGAATAAGGAGTTAGGGTTAGGACTATGGCTACGTTTGGCAAGATCTAGGTCTTCATTTAGTCCTTCATTTAGGACTAAGGTTAGGAGTAAGGCTTGGTCTAGTTTTAGGGTTACAGTTTTGTTTTTCTTGAAATTTACTTAATTTCCCCTTCATTCAGATGTTTTGTAAATACATTATTTCCTTTTTTCACTTTATGTTGTATTGCTGTTGTTGTGAACTCATATTCCCTGTTTTCAATCTTTGAGGTTTGCTTTACTTTGAATACTTGTAAATCTGGGTTGAGTTATAGATAATGTTATCATGTATGTTAGTCTCAGGTTGTTGTCTGCTGTTTTGGTTCTTGGTCCAAAGAACTCCCTTTAGTATTTTTTGTAAGGTTGGTCTGGCTTTTGCAAATTCTTTTAATTTCTATTTGGAAATATCCTAATTTTACGGTCATTTTTGATGAACAATTTTGCTGGGTATATGATTCTTGGTTGGCAATTTTTTCTTTCATAATTTTATATATGTCATCCCACTATCTTAACTGCATGGTTTCTGCTGAGAACATCAGAGCTTAGTCTTGTCAGTTATCCTTTGAAGGTAACTTTAAGTTTTTTCCCACGTTGCTCTCAGGACTTTTTCCTTGTCTCTGGTTTTCAAAAGTTTGATTATAGTAATACATCTTGGTGGTTTTCTTTTTGGGGGTCTCTTCTCTTTGTAGTTCATTTAAATTCTTGAATGGCTATCTTCTCATCTTTCATGATGTTAGAGAGGTTTTCTTCCAAAAACTCTTGGACAATAGTCTATGATTTTTTTTTCTCTTCTTATTCTGGAATTCCAATCACACATAAGTTACTCCTTTTGATAATGTCCTACATAAATCTTGGGCTTTCTTTGGATTTTTAAAATTCTTTTTTCTGATTGTTCTTCTCAAAGATGAATATTGAGAGATTTGTCTTCAAGCTCACTGCTTTGGCCTTCTATTGATTCTATTCTACTTTTGATGTATATCTGTTTCTAAAGTCTTAGTATTTATTGTCTGGCCTAATTAAAACTCCTGTTTTTGTATGGTTACCAATTTTTCACTTACTTTGTTAGTTTACTCTTGTATTATTTTCTTGAATTCTGTCTTGCTTTCATCTAACTTTCTCTCAATTCGTTGAAGCATTCTTCTAATTCTGACTTCATTTTTAGTACACTTGTTTGGGGTACTTCTGTCTTGTTTCTTCATGTAAGCTGGAATTGTCTGTTTTCTCCAAGACATTGAGGTGTCATTTTATTTCTATTTAATTGGTTTTTATATTGGTATGTTCTCAGGTACTCGTCATCTCTCTCCTAGTGGATGTGATGTAGACTGAAGGAAGTCTAACACAGTTCTCAGTTTGCCATTTGTGTAGCGCAGTTCAGGGCAGGTTCAACATGCCTCCAGGATCCCAGGCAAAGGCTGCGCAGGAGAGGGTGCCACTGGTTGCTGTGTTGGCAGTGGTGGGGCTGGCCATGTCCCAGCTGCCAGGAAAACAAGAGAACAAGGGAAAACTACAGCCCCCTTGCCTCTCACCTGCAGCCTGGCCCTATGTCCACAGGCCGCTATATCAGCATCTGCTTGCAAAAGCTCACGATGGCCACACCTCTCCATGCCAGCTGATAGATCACCTGTTTTGCATCTCACTATGCTCCTGTTCAGCTTTCCCTTCCAGTCAGCATTCAGTCTACCTCTCTGTCCTATCTTCTGAAACTCCAGGATCACCAACTATATCTACATCACTGGTTCTCCCAAGTCTTTGTAGCAAGGGACTGCTCTGTATGTTTGCCAACTCTGCCATCTTGCCTTGACTCCTTAGACCTGTATATTTGAAGACATCTATGCTTTGTCTGGAAATGCCTAGGAGGCAAGAATTCATTTGTCTGATTTACTCTCAAGAGCATGAGGCACATTGGCAGTACTAGGAATGCCCGTCTTCACAATTCCAGGTAAGGAAGTACTTGGGATGACCGAAGAAGTCTTGATTGAACACCTAATGGGTCTGCTGGGGAGTAGAGCTGCCCTGAACTGCTGGGATCAGTGGAGTACTCAGAATTTATAATCAGAATTAAAATGCCTCTGTCTTGGGCTACCTTCTCTGTCTCACTAATTTATCCACCTAAGCTCAGTCCCTTCTCACTACAGAATCTATTAAAAATAAATAAATAAGAACAGAGATGAAACTTACTCCGGATCACAATGACACTGTAGTTGGTATCTTTCTCTGTAATGTCAACTCTGAAGCAGGTTTTTGTGCTGTATAAACCTACATTAACATAAGTGTCATTCAGCTTCTCTTTTAAAAAGGAGGAAAAAAAGTTCCAGACACTAAACTGCTCCAGTTCCTTCAGTTTCTCCTCATTCTCCACCTGAGTGACTCGTACCAGTTTGGAACTATTTATCCGGATCTGGAAGACAAGTGAAATTAGGATCAGAAAGAAGGAAGTAGGAATTCTAAATATCCATATATGCAAACATAAAAAACAGAAAAAGTCCTTAGCTAAGTCAGTGTCAGTGCTAGTCTAGCATAAGGCTTAAGAGAAATATAGAGATGCAGCAGCTAAAACATAACTGGGCAAATACCACTGCACGTGACACAGAGCTGGAGGTGCATGATGTTTGGTTTGTATGAGCAGAATCTACTATTAGGCCAAAGCATTCCCAGCTGAAAGAATGATCAATACAGCATTTACGACAAATCATACAAAGCAAGGGTCTAGCATATTAAGAAAATTGCCAGGCATAAACAGTCCCAGAAAACTGAAAATGTTTCCCATAATGACAGGCTGAGAAGTTCAATTCATTGTCACAAATTACTGATTATAGGTAAATGTCAGTTATAATGAATGTGCCCCAGATGGAGTACGATTTTTATATTAAACAATAAAAAATAAAGGGAAAAAGAAAAAAACCAAACAAACCAAGCCCATCCATATGTTCTTGATGTGAACAACAAACACCCTTATCAAGAGCTATGCGTAGCAGCAAGCATTCCAAAAGGACTCATTTTGTTCAATCACTGGTAGAGTAAGACCCTCCTGCTGGCCAGGTCACTTAATAGTGCTATTAAATAAATGAAATCAAAGTCATTCTATCAAAGTATAGCTTAGCTCAGGGAGTGTATGAAACACCTTGTGTAGAAGCAAAATAGAATATGAAGAGCAAGTAAAAGGAGTTCATGTCCTGATGGCCAGCAACCGTTTCCAGACCAAAGAAGGCATAAGGTCTTGAAAGAGAAGAGACAGAGTGTGTTGTGTTGGAATAAGTCGGGGGTGGGGGACAGTTCCTAAGGGGAAGAAGGAAGGTTAACCCAGATACTGCTTAGGAAATCAGAGTATTGTAAGTACTTCAGGGAGTATACAGAGGGGAACACAGAGGAGGCATAAATACTTATGGATGAAGATACTAGGGGACTTCAAAAAGTTCATGGAAAAATGTAATTATTCCATGAACTACTTAAAGCCCCCTCATACAATTCTAGACAATCTCAACTCCTACAAGGCTATTAGCAATACCTTTTTTTAACTGTGTGTGAGGGAGAAAATGTGTCAATGTACTCGCTAATCACAGACAGACAGATATTCACAAAAGCGGGTCATGCCAAGGCCTCCAGGTTCTTACCTGCATCCGTGTCCATATATCATGCCACTTTGGGATGATCACGTTTTTATAACAAAATTCACTGGTATTATGATAAACTTTGGATTCCTGAAGCATGACTACATGTTTACCAGTTTCAGCTTCTTTCAATCATGTAAGGAAGGAAACAAAAATTAAGTATAAGTACAGCACAGCAGGCTATGAACTATATAAATCATTTCGTTAAAAGAAATAACTTTTAAACAGACCGTATTTCAACTTGGGGTTAAAATGCTAGCCATTGTAACCATAGCAATTAAACGATATATGATAGGATGAATGTAAAGCTAATGTTCTCCCATGCAAACTATCACATAATTCACAATAAAACATTTAAAAAAAGAAAAAATACTAGCCAGACTAAGAAATGAGGAAACAGATGAAAGAAAAAAATATGAGTCTTATTCCTGTCAAACTTAATGATCAAATATTACAAATAGCCATTAACACAGAATTGTTGTTAAGTGCTGTCGAGTCAATTATGACCCATAGCGACCCTGTATAGGGTTTCCAAGCAACAGTTGGTGAGCTTGAACCACTGACCTTGCAGTTCAAACGACTTTGCAGTCTGACGCATTAGCCCACAGCACCACACCACAGAATAATAATAAAAGTTACTATTGTAGAGATATCACTTTGAAGACTAAGGTGAATCAGATCCAAGCCATGATATTTTTAATCACCTCATATGCAAGTGAATGCTGAACAATGATTTGTTATTGTTGTTAAGTGCTGGTGAGTTGGTTCTGACTCACAGCAACCCTGTATAGGGTTTCCAAGGAATGGCTGGTGAGTTTGAACCACTGACCTTGCTGTTCAAATGGACCTGAGGTCAAATGCTGATAAGCACCTATGGTGCCACACCAGGACTCCAAACAATGATTAAAAAATGATTAAGGAAGAACAAAGAATTGATACCTTTGCCTAAGTGCCCATCAATGGAAGAATGGATAAACAAACTTTGGTACATACACACATTGGAATATTATGCAACCTTGAAGAATAATGAACTTCCAAGACACACTATAATATGGATGAGCCTGGAGGACATTATGCTGAGTGAAATTAGTCAATCACAAAAGGACAAGTATTGCATGAGACCGGTATTGTAAAAGCTCAAGAAAAGGTTTCCATACTAAAAGAAGTATTCTTTTGATGGTTACCAGGGGTGGGAGAGTGAGAGGAGTGATTCACTAGCTAGAGGGTTGGTTGGTTGGTTATGTGCCATAGAGTCGGTTCCGACTCATAGTGACCCTGTACAGGGCTTCTGAGGCTGTAAATCTTTGTTGATGTCGTTATGTGCCGTGGAGTCGGTTCCAACTCATAGCGACCCTGTGCAGGGTTTCCGAGGCTGTAAATCTTTACGGGAGCAAAAAGCCTCATCCTCCTACAGAATGGCTGGTAGTTTTGAACTGCTGACCTTGCGGTTCACAGCCCGTATGGGAGCAGAAAGCCTCATCTTTGTCCCGCAGAACAGCTGGTAGTTTCTAACGGATGACCTTGCAGTTCGCAGCCCGATCCATAACCACTATGCTACAGAGCTAGAGGGTAGACACATTTGTTAACAAAGATGACAGGGGAGGGCCATTAGGCAAGAAAGGAAAGGGCAATACACAGGAAGAGGAAGGATGGCAGATGAATAATGAAGATAGGGGAAGACTCAGGGAGATTTGAGTGGGCTAAAGGGGATAGAAATAAATAGTGATATATACACAACCTTGGAACAACAGTCTTATATGAGTAGATACATAGATCGAGACACAGACTGAATTGTAAGCAAGAAAAAAAAAGTTTGTGTTTGACAGCCTTGTAGATACTCGTTTCCCTTGTCTACTATTATAAAACAGACATTCCTATGTGATAGAAATGACTATTGGGAATTATGACTATAGAAACCTTGTTAGTCTGCCTTCAGTCTATAATTCATTGGATTTGCTTAAAGGGGAGTAAGAATTTGCCCAGAGAAATAGACTTCTTGTTAAGTCTTTGTAGACTATGCGGCTTTAGGTGGAATCCTGAGTCTCACCCAGAAATTTCTGAGTTGGGACATTAGCATTTGAAAAGACATGCAGACCAAACCAGAACTGCTGGGAGAACAGAAGACGTATTGAAAGAAAGACCTGCAGAAAAAAGTAGACTGTTTGGCTTTTTGAGTTTCAAGCAAACTGTTTGCTTTGGAGGCATCAAGGCAGAAAAGTCAGCCCATTAAGGGCAAAAAACAATCTCTTCTAGGACTGAAAATTAAGGGGAACAGGTGAGAAATCTAGTATACTTGCTGGTGACCACCTGGATCTCCTGTGAGTGGAAGTTGAGAAAATGCAGCAATGAAAACACAGGCCAAGTTTGGACATGTATTGTTGGCAACCACTGTCCTTGAGAAGACAGAAGACAGAATGGGCTGCTGGCTTGAAGTTTAAGGAGTTGCGTGAATTCCTGAGCCCATGAGCACGACCTAACCCCTGGGGGTACAGCTAAAAGTGTAAGGAGGAATGTGTGAATTCACAAACTTGCAGCTGACACTCATTTGACCTAGCTTGGATGGTTAGGGTTTAGCTGACCAGAACCCAACCAGATGACAATAAGATGTTTGATACTGTGAGCAAGTGTAAACTGCTACAATTTGATGAACTGGATTTCTGCTGTGTGAGACTGGTTTTAACCACTACCTACTCTGCTTCTCTTTTAAGGCAGAGCTAAACAGTAGGCCCATCTACTGATTTTCTCCATCCCTCTCCTAAGTGGGATGAACAGGATTGACAAAGTTTGGCTCTATATAGTACTTAAAGAGAATATGAAAAGATTGCAAAGTGGCTTTTTTTCCCCCTAGCTATCTTGTTTCATCTCAAGTTTTAAGAGCAACCAATGGTTATAAACATTTTCTTCGTTTTCAACAAAACAGAATATTCTTTCCCCAGAAGTTTGTATTCTATCTCAGTTAACTCCAGGTTTAAAAGTGACCACTCTTCAGTACCTTCCCACCCAAGTTTGCCTAAGGTGTCCTGTTGTGGTGTGGTAGGATCAGCACTAGATTGCAAACCACAAGGTCACCAGCTTCTCCTTGGAAAACCTATACAGGGTCGCTATGATTCAGAACAGCTTTGACAGCACTTACTGGCAACATCACCTTCTTTATGACAAAACATTCAAATAACTTCTTCCTTGAGTTCTATGGTTATTTCATAGGAATAGGAGTCTTATTTCTGTCTAATTTAATTACCAAATAATACAAATAGTCATTAATCCAGAATAAGTAAGTTACTATTATAAAGATGTCACTTTGAAGACTAAGGTGAACCAGATCCAAGCCATGATATATGTGCTCAGCAACTTACCAAGTGCTCCTATAATGGGAGATTTAGTTATCACTTTGGTTCTTAAATATGAGTAGATTTAAATAAACTAAATTTAAGTTTCAATCAAATCTTAGAAAGCCAAAATTACACAATGGCATTGATGACCACAAGTGATGACCACATTGATGACAAAATGGTTTTAGGGTAACACTAAGTCTAGTGTGGTGCTGTGGGCTAATCTGTCTGACTGCAAAGCCATTTGAACTGCAAGGTCGGCAGTTCAAGTTCACCAGCTGCTCCTCAGAAACCCTATACAGGGTCACTATGGGTCGGAACCGACTCAATGGCACTTCACAACAAGTGGCACTGTAAGGTAAGCACTGGCCTGTGAACCACAAGGTTCAAGGCCATCAGCTGCTCCTCAGGATTAAGATGAGGCTTTCTGCTCCCACAACGATTTACAGCCTTGGAAACTCTATAAAGGGTCAGAACTAATGCGTCAGACTGCAAAGTCATTTGAACTATGGGTTGGAACTGATTCCATGGCACTTAACAACAACGAGTTGGAACCAACTTGACAGCACTTAACAACAATAAATTCAGTTAAATTCAGTCTTGAACCTAAATGTAATAGCTAAAACTATAAAATTTTTATTTGAAAACTCATAGGTGTAGGGCTTCGTTAGTGTGGTGCCGTGGGTTAATGCACTGGACTGCAAAGTCGGTTTGAACTGCAAGGTCGGCAGTTCAAGCTCACCAGCCACTCCTCGAAAGCACTATACAGGGTTGCTATAGGGCAGAACTGATAGCGCTTCATATCTACTGCTGTTTTTATTGTTAGAGCCACCAAGTCAGTTGGACCCCTATGTTCGACAAAATGAAACACTTCACACTTGTGCTCTCTCACCATCTTTGCTGGTTTTGAGCCCATTGTTGTAGACACTATGTCAATATATCTCCTTAAGGTCTTCCTTTTTCACTGACCCTCTACCAAGCATGGCATCTTTATCCACAGACTGGCCCCTCCTAACAACATGTCCAAAATAAGTGAGACGAAGTCTCATCACCCTCAATGCTTCAAAAAAGCATTCTGACTGTACTTCTCACAAGACATTTGTTCATCAGACAGGCCATGGAATAGTCTATATTCTTTGCCAACATCATAATGCAATTTTTCTTTATTTTTCTTTATTCATTGTCCAGCTTTCACATGCATATGACACAACTGAAAATATTATGCCTTGGGTCAGATACACCTTAGTCCCCAAAGTTAACAACTTTGTTTTTGAACACTTTAACAGACGCTTTGCACCAGATTTGCCCAATTCAATACATTATTTAATTTCTTGACTGCTGTTTCTATGGACATTGATGATGGGTCCAAGTAAAAGGAAATTCTTGACAACTTCGATACTTCCTCTATTTATTGTGATGTTGCTTGTTGGTCCAACTGTATGGCTTGTTTCTTTATGTTGAGGTACCTTCATCAATAGAGGCTTCAAGTTCTCTGTCTTCAGCAAGCAAGCTTGTGTCATTAGCATATCACATATTGTTAATGAGCCTTCCATCAATCATGATGTCCTAATCTTCTTCATATAGTTCAGCTTTTTGAATTATTTGCTGAGCATACAGATTAAATAAGTATGGCAAACATACTTATACTCAGGATGCAACCCAGACACATACCTTTCCTAATTTTAAACTACTCATTGTCCCCTTTATTGAAATTACCACAGACTGCGGGAAGAACAAACAAATCTGACTTGGAAGAAGTACAGTAAGAATGTTCTTTAGAAGTGAAGATGGCT